GAAGAGAAGAGAAGAGAAGAGAAGAGAAGAGAAGAGAAGAGAAGAGAGAATCTTGGTTTGTTTTGTTTTATTGCTCCAATAATTTTTTCTTAAAAATGTTGGTAACAAAACCACTCTCACCTGGATGTGAAGAGAAAGCTCTTCCTTTGCACTTTTCATCCATTTTTTAGGCTTCTTTCTGAAGCTTCTCCAGCAGAACACAGATTGACCAGTATGTTGTGCTGGCACATTTCACCTGCTACTGAATGAAGCTGGTTGAATTATCCAGAATTCCTCCTCCAGAGGATGATTCTTTTGTCTTGGATATAGTGTTATTTTATAATAATTCCCCTAAGTTGGACAACACTGCACAGTTTTGGACACAACATGTGTCAATAACCCTTCTTTGTCTTCTTTCAGGTAGTGGATGTTCTGAGATGGTACTTTTATGTCTCAAATATAATGGCAGTTCTAGAGATGTGCTTCATTTTGGGTCTGGGGAACCTCTCTGGGACTGTTAATCCTTCTAATCCTGATGTGAGCTTCTAAAACAAATTCACCACCTCACAAAAACTTCTGCCTTTTCTCACTGGATGGTTGATTGTGTATTTCTCAGTGTTGGCAAACAAAGTTTATTTTGATAGACTGTTCTGCAGCTTCAGCATCGTGGATGTTAATATACAAATGAATGTTATTATTACTCCCAAACATGTGCTCCAGGAAGAAACAACATTACTACAAGTTCTTGTAGCTACTTTTTTTGTTTTGTTTTGTTTGGGCTGTGGTAAATTGCATTTTGCTCTGATTCTATCTGCCAAGGGTAGTATAAATCTTGTTATTAAGCCTGACCAAATGGTTGGGTTAGTATTGATACCTTCTGTAATGGAAAACCTGAGGTTGGTTATTTTCCCCCAGCACATCTGAATGCTGTTTAGACCAAATGTAGGTATTTTCCCTGCTGTTTTTGCAATATGTAGCAAGCATTTCACCACACAGCTTTCACATTATTTCCCTACTCCGGCTGCACCACACTCGGCTTGGCTCAGGGCTGTTCCAGCGGCATGGGGAGAGCTGAACACAGGATAAATTGGGATGAGGGAAGGAGCCAAAACCTCGCCACGTGCAGCAGCGCACACACGCCAACGCATTGCCTTCGGGCAGCCGGGGGGACGCGGTTTGTTGGGATGCCGGGAGCGGCGAAGGCTCGTGCCTGCCCGGGGGCATCCCTGGGAGCGGCTCTGGGGATGCTGCTGGAACAGCAGCGGCGTCCCCAGGGACCGGCGCCGCAGGGATGCGCTCCCTGCCCGCACCCTCCGAGCCGCTTGTGCCCTGGAGGGTGAACCACCGCCGGGCACCGGCCCCGGGGAGCGCCGGGGAGACCGAAAGGACCGAGCGAAGGGGCCGGGAAGGGGCCGGTCCGGCCATCCCCGCTCCGCCCCGCTCCTCCCTCGCTCCGCGCCCGCTGCCCGGGGATTGGGGCTGCCGGGCCGCTCGGGGTGAGGCGGGGCTTGGCTCGGCGCTTATTTATTTATTTGTTTCCCTCCTTTTTTTTTTTTTTTCTATTTTTCTTTTCCGCGGCGTCTCCCGGCGCAGGTTCCGTGTCCCTGTAAACAGCGGCGGAGGATGTGCCGGGGCCGGAGGAGGCGGGCGCCCGCTGGGGCGGGAGGTGCCCGGCGGCCGCCGCCGGCCCCGGGGGCTGTGAGAGCATCGGGGGCGATGACCTTCGCGGGGGAGCCGCGCTCGCCCCCTCCTTCGCTGGCGGAAAGTCAAACAAGTCAATGAGGAGAACTTAAAAAAAAAAAAAAAGGCGAGAAAAAAAAAGCGCGCAACACCAAACCCTGCCTCCGCGCCTCTGGATGATTTCAGGGCTGATCAGCATCACCTAAAGGAAAACTTTGGTGACGCCCGGGGAGCCGACGTGGTTTTTCCGCCGGGATGCAGGCGCTGGCTCCGTGAAGCGCATCCCGGCGGCGGGGCAGGAGCGAGGTCCCTCCCGAGGAGCAGCACAGCCCCTGCCCAGCCCCAGCCCCGCCGGCTCGGGGGGTGCAGGGGCAGGGGGCTGCCGAGGCTCCGGACTGAGATTTGAATCAGAACTGATTCCTATTTGTTTACTGAGAGGGGTTTTCTTTCGCAGCATCATTGTTTTGAAGAAAGGAGGGAGGAAGGGGGAGGGTTAAAGCTAAAGAAGTAAGTCGTCTCTGCGAAGGAAATGCCTTTTGCTCTTTTCAGATGACCTTTTCTGAAAATGTAGCCTCTCCAGCTGACCGATTTTTATTTTGACTACAAAGTGTGTGAAACTGAGCCCCAACTGCTCCACAAACCCTAGGATGTGTGCTTCTGGGATTAGCAATATGGGGCATCTGTTGTCACCTCTCCTCTTGAGCCTGGCAGCAGTTTTTTCCAAAGGTAAGTCTCGATCTCTTCTCTCTCTTTCACTGCATCTTGTTTCTTATTTTGCACACCCAGCCTTTGTCCCCTCTGTCTGTGGTGCCTTGAATGTTGATACCCACAATTCACGACTGAAAGACTTGGGGGGAGTCATGTGCTAGTCAAAACCACGGATGATGCGATGGGAAATCCTGAGTGGCAGGATTTTTCCTTGGTCGACTGTGACAAACAGTCTATCCATTTAGTGAGGCATTTGTTACCTCCCTATTGTACTTTTGATCATGTAGTAGATGCTGCTGTTGAGCTTAGCTGGTAACTCATCTTTGGATTACAAAGGGTTTGTTCTCTGGGAATTTGAAGTCTCCAGAGGTACATGCCTGTGGAGTTGGCTGCCCCACTCTTATCTTCTGTGTAATATTTCAAATTAAAAATCCTGTCTCAGACCGGCTGGCAGCGTTTTACTGGACCAGAGAAATACCTACTTACTGGAACATTGAAAAGCTTTGATGGGATCCTGAACCAGGTGTCTGACATTCTGCATGCTAAATAGAGTTTGGATGTCCTGACAGCATGACTTAGACAGCTCAGTGATACCTCCTTGTTGCCCTCGAGCGTGTTTGCAGTGAGAATCAGGAAAGCAGCCCATAGACAATGCACATATTTTTGTGTGCATTAAAGCTTAAGTGCATTTAAACTTCAAAGTTTTCATCGATGGCCTCAGCCAAAAAGTGAATGCATTCTTGCAATACTTAATTTAGATGATTCTGATAATTCCCGTGGAATACAAATTAGGAGAAATACACATTTCTACTGAGCAGATACTGTGCATCAGCAGCTATATCTTGGCAGGAAAACAGAATTGAAGTTCTCACGTGGTTTAGTCTTCAGAGAGGAATAATAGCATATGCATTTACTCTGTGATTTTGCAAGCATACTGATAAAGAGTCCTTAGAAACATCCCTATTAAAAAAAGGTATTAATTATTCTTAACACCTTCTTACACTTCCAGAGATCAGCACTTTTCTTTGGTATTGAGTTATATTTACTAATTAGTTTGTATCCAGAACTGAACTTACTGACAGAAGGCAAATCACACAGCTGTGTATGTCTATTGTGGTTCCCCGTACCAAATTCACTTCTCCTCCTTTTTTTCCTTAGAAGAGGTAAAGAAAGACTTGAGCAAAATTATAAGTCTTCTCAAATGTTCCCTAAATGCAGTGCCCACATAAGTACTGTTCTAAAGTTGCAATTGGAAATGCATTAGCAGCAGGGATTAGAAGTCAGAGTCTTTTCAAGAGATTGCTCATTCTCATTGCACACCAGTAGCTTTTGATTTCCCAGCTAGCTTGTAAATGATGTATTTTATTATAAGCAATATCAGTACTCTGGATAGGCTAACAGTACAGTAAGAATATTAACTTCTCCACCCCCTGTATTTTTTGCTGTGTTTCAGTTTGCTGCCTTAACACTTAATATAGTGTTTGATTGAGATGGCAGCTCATTCTAGGATTGGGGTATAAGTGGCATTTCAGTCTTAGAGAGTACAATGTTTCTTTTATTGCCAACTCAGCAATTATAACGTTAATATGTGATTTTATTCTTAAATGTTACATCTCTTTTGACAGATGTACCTAGGCAGAAAACTGGACTTGGAAAGGAAGTCTCTTAGGCGGATACACTATAAAATGCTATAAAAACTGATGAGTAAGATTTTTCTGTGTATTATGATTGTGAAGTCTCATTAAATCTGATATGTCTTGAAACAAGTTGTGCCAGAGGAGGTTTAGGTTGGATATTAGGAAAAATTCCTTCACCATGTGGTTGCCAAGCACTGGAACAGGCTGCCCAAGGCAGTGGTTCCAGGGATTGACCATCCCTGGAGGAATTAAAAAGATGTGGAGAGGTGGCTCCTGGGGCCATGGGTTAGTGGTGGCCTTGGCAGTGCTGGGGGAATGGTTGGACTCAATCATCTCAGAGGGCTTTTCCAAACCTAAGGAATTCTGTGATTCTCTGAAACCAGACACATGAGATCCCACCAGAATTACTGGTATTAGCTGTGCTATTTACTTTGCATTTCAGATATCCAAGATGCTACTGCTGTGTGATTGCTGGGAGTCTGCTGTTCACTAACACAGATATCCATCTTCAATGCAGTTGTCTGTTTTTTCTTTGGTAGCAGACTCCATCTTCACTGCCATGCCTTAGGAAAGACCAGAGTGTTCCAGAGATTTACAGCATAAACTTGACAGTGTAAAAGGTTGATTCCCACCCTGCTCCATATAATAAGATGAACACCAAAAAAAAAAAAAAAAATAAAAAATTCAGGCGTGATTACTACTCCAGGGCGTGTTTCTTTGATGCCTTTCTGTTGCTAATAGAAAAACTCTCTCATTTATGACATGATGACAAAGTTTTCCTAAAGAGATACAAAAGCTTTTAACATGCAACAGCAATCAGCTGTCTATTGTGTGTAGGGCTGTTGCTGATTACTCAGAACCATGGCAACACACCTTTTACTGCACAGTTTCCAAATCTTTCAGGTAATAATGTTGAAGGTTGGAGAATGCTATTGTGGTTTTGCTTTGCTTTTATCTTGTAAATGCCGAGCTCCAGCCTGAGAAATGAAATGTTGTTTTCAGTAATGAGCTTGCAGTTCTTACCAGAACAATTTGTCAGTGATGATACAATCCACATGTTTTAATATACTGTCAGTCTAATTGTATATATGTGTGTGTAAGGGCAGAGATTATAAGGCTCTGTAACTGTAGTTATGGGGGCAGTTGCATTTCACATCTTTGTCTTCAACTAGAAGTTTTCTTGAACCAGTCCTAGAGGGGCAGTGCTTGCTCTCAGTCCCTTTGGCATTTTGCTATTTGATATCAGTACCAAAAGAAATTCTTCAGAAGTCTTCAGTTAAAAAATAACCAAGTCGAGGTGATGATAATGAAAACACAGACTGGTAGAACAGGCACAGTAATGTGGACATGCTGTTCCCTTGTTTAAGGGGAAACCCATTAGCTTTACTGGAGAAGAATAAAAACTTCAACACTTCACTTGAACTCCAGGTTCCATGCTTGGCTTAAGTCTAGAAGGAAAACAGCATCTCCTGTAAGATGTTAAACAATTTTAGGATTTATATTGTGAGACTAAAGATTGAGGAGCCTTTTTTATTACAAATGTTTGTTGTCAGATAAAAACAGTTTAATTTCAAATTTCAGGTCTAAGTTGACGGTAACAAAACAAGTGAATATTTAGTGATTTTTTTTTTTCTGCCTGTGTTCTGTTGAGTTTTTGTGTTCTTCTCTGTCACCCAGGGCTGAAATCTTCCTGCAGGTCACTCTCTAATGACATCTCAGGCCACAGAACTGCTGGTTTGATTTTCTTTTTCTCTCAGTTTTATAAAAATGGAGGCTTGGCAACTGTGTGAGGAAGAGTTTCCTTGTATCCCCCTGAAAGGTTTCCCACAGGTAGAGGTGTGGATAACACATGTGCACTGATGGCAATGCCCTGTCACGATAGAAAAGTGAGTGTGGGGAAACAAATAAACCAACCCCCCAAGTGTTTAGTTTCGGTTACATTACAGGAGAGAAATATTTGGCTATTTAACTTTAAACTGCGACTGCTTCTGTTTCTGTTGGAATTGTCCATGTTACAGTATCCTTTGAACCCTCTTGATTTCCACTGAATCTTCGAGATTTTTTTTTGTCTCATCGTGGACAAGTTTTATCTTTGGCTTTTTTATGCAATTTTACTGATTCTATGATGATACTTATTATCAGAACATGTCATTCTGGTCACATGGCACTTCACTTATGATTTCAGTGTATTATATCTTTGTGAGCTGCAGTTGGATAGGAAGCCCCTTTGATTCAATTTAACCTCACTTGTGTATTCACTGGTTTCATGGGGGTAGTGGTGTACAGAGAACCCCAGCTGAGCTTGTCAGGGATGTTCCAGCTTCCAGACAGCTGAGGGCCATTCCTGAAGGTCTTTGTGTGCAGGTCTTCCACTGCCATTGAAGTGCACTCTGGACTTAGAAACATGGAAAATGAAAAGCTGAGGAGTGCAGCAACCTGTGTTTTAGCTCTACTTTGGAGTTCATTCCTCTGGAGCAGTGGTAGCATATTAGGAATGGAAAAAGTGCTGTATATGTGATTAAAATCAAATATGATTTTATTTGACTTAAGATATGTATTCTTTTCACTCCTCCTTCTTCGTGGTGACCAGACAGCAGTTCAGGGTTGAATTTCAGTTCATGTTGACAAATTTTGATGGTGATGAGGAGGGGCAGATTCTTTTTCTCAAAGTAACAGTGCTGACATTGTGGACAGACTCATCACAGGCCTCTCTTGCTCCAACTGTGCAATTGATATGTATGGAAAATATTGCATGCTGCTTTCAGATGAGCATAAAGTACAGGTGGGATCACTGGGAGGTTTTCTTGTAGGCTTTGCTTATGTGCAGAAACCCAGAAAGTTTTCTGTAAAACCCCAAAGAGAAATTAAATCTTTCTAGCTTAAGGTTCAAGCTGTTCCCTTAAAACCAAAGTTTTCATGCTTTGTCCCAACTACATTGAACTTACAGTCATTTGAGACATTATACAAGGGAAGGGAAAACTAGCTTTAACTTTTTTTGCTCTTATTGTGTTTCTTGCCACAGTGGGAAAAGCCCCATTTCTTTCAGTAAAAATAATAAATCCAGTCTAAACTAAAAAATTCTACAGCTAGACCCAGGTTTTATTTGTCAGCTGCAATACTGGCTTAATGTCATTTGGTTTCTAATATTTCCCTGTAATGTTCTTATTTTTTACTTCTGTCTTTTCTTTTATTAGTTCCATAGGACTGGCAGGCTCTGTGACACCAACCAGTGTTTTAGACATTAATAAAAGCAGCTTTATTCAATAAAGATCAGTTTTATTTAATAAAAGAGAGAATCAAAAGATAATCTGATTTTTTTTCATGCTGCATTCACATTAAATCAGCCTCCCGAGGTGGTTGGTTGTGGATGCCAAGTCTGGT